GATATTGTTATCTTAAAAAGGTATATTTTTTGATAGATTTGAAGCCATCACTTGGTGTAATTTTGAATATATAGAAACCTTCCATGCACACATGATGGTTATGCAATTCATAAGTACAGTGTCTTCAAAACTTTGTTGTGATACATGAGTGGATGAAGGGACAGATTCTACCATACATAACGGTTTTGGATTGCCATATAAGATAATAATAGTCACAATGCTGAGAATCATATCAAACAATTGTAAAAAACATATTTTTGCTACAGTTGATTCATATTTGTATTGTTTGGAAATATATTTTATGAGGGGGTGGGGGGAAACCTCCCATTTATAATATACATTTAACGATTCCGAACTGGGTGATTGCTGTTGGAGAAGGATTGTGTTGTACTTAAACTTTAAAGAGATTTCTCTGGCTATATGCTTGCATTGTTTCCTGAGTGATTTGATTAAGTAATAGTCAACTCTTAGCAACCACATACATAGATTTTCTCCCTGTTGATCTGCCTCTAACTTCAGGTCTTCCAAGTGTACACCCATCACCACTGAGTCTACTCATCTCATTGCTGATTGCATTCTTCTTCTTTTTCCTTCCATCTTTCCCAGAATTAGAGCCTTTTCCAGAGAGCAAAGGTCTTTGCATAATATACAGTACCTGAACTAGAATAATGTGATCCTCGAGTGAGAACTCTGGGTTAAATTTTTCATGATCCGTCAATTTGCTTTCTTGCCTGCAATACATTAATACATACTGTGGCTTATGGCATCGATATAAGATGATTAAAAACAAATATTAGTTAATGGTGTGAGAAATGTACCCTGGAAACTAAGCTACTATATCGAATTGTTCTATCACTCTATGCCCAAGGGGGCAGAGTAACCCTGTTGATTTCAGACTTCATTTTTCTTTCAACGTGTAGCTGGGATCTCAGCCCAAGGAAGACTCAGAATTTACTGAGCTTGTTTGGTTCGTTTCTAGGAATAACCGATGCCCAATCATTGCCTGTATCCATAAAAGGTTAAGGGTAACTTATTAGCCTAGTTCTATTTACTAATATTGGAGAAATGCTTTCTTGCCTGCACCAATTGTAAGGGGAAAACCAGAATTTCAAAGTCGGGATCTCACCAAATGCTAAACCAGATTCTTCTAGGCAACCCCCTCACCACAATCTCCTTCCCATGTACCATGGTGCATTTGAACGTTTGCTATGGTTGCTGTGTTTGATTCAAATATCCTTTTGAGGGCTGTGTAGTGTACATGACAAACAAATATTGTGAACCTTCCAAATTGTAGAGCAAAGAAAAATGTTGGAGAGAGGAACATAAAGAATTCCCATTACCCACCCACCCCCTTGCAACTCTCCTCTCTCATTAGACCTTCTAATGTGAGAGATTACTCCCATTTTTCTTTTCTGCAGCACAAATGGTATTTTGGGAATAGCAATAGCAATAGCAGTTAGACTTATATACCGCTTCATAGGGCTTTCAGCCCTCTCTAAGCGGTTTACAGAGTCAGCATATCGCCCCCAACAACAATCCGGGTCCTCATTTTACCCACCTCGGAAGGATGGGAGGCTGAGTCAACCCTGAGCCGGTGAGATTTGAACAGCCGAACTGCAGAACTGCAGTCAGCTGAAGTAGCCTGCAGTGCTGCATTTAACCACTGTGCCACCTCGGCTCTCTCTTGGGAAACCGAGGCAGAGAGAGACCCATGCTTCATCACCTCCCCCAGAAAGATTAACAAGATGAGTCAGGTTTCCTTCACTTTTTTTCTTTGGCCCTGTATGGCTCCAGTATCTTCTCCGTGGAACTTGCACAGTTCCTCCTTTTTCAGGTCCTCGATGGATTTTTCCTGGTCTTTCCAAGTCATGTTTCTCTTTCTGGTAGTTATTTTTCTCTCTTGAGGCCCCTCTCAGGGGGAGAGAGACTTCAAAATTTGATAGAGCCCAGGAGACTGTTCCAGACAGCAGAGAATTTCAGCTTATTCCCTCTCCTGAGCAGTGGGAGAATTTCATTTCATTTTCCTCTACTCTCTCAAAGGGTACATACATGAATCAAGCTTGCTTGATTCCCCGCCCGCCTGAGTTATAGGCGCTACTCAGAAAGCCTCCTCCTATGTGTATGGCCTCCAGCTGTATGGAGACCTGTGGGATTTCTTTCTCTCACTTCTGAGACAGCATTTTTGCAGCATCCGTTTTTCCTTAGAACCTGACATCTGTAGACTACACACCTCCTTCCAGAGGCAGCTGGCGCTGCCTGCTTCCCTTGTTCCAGAATTAAAGCTTTATAGCAAAAATCAAAACGACTGACACATCAGAAGAACATTTGTCGTCTATCTTAACTGTTTGTTAATGCTTCTGACTGAGGATCTTCAAGCTGGAAGCAAGGGAGCTGCTAGTCTCCTTCTTTTTTTTCTTTTTAAAGAAAAAGGTGAGTGAAATATTCGTTTTTACTGCTCTCGAGTCCTTTTCCAGAGCTTATTCGTGAATCATGTTTGCAAGCTCATCCCTCTATATTTATCTTAGTGCTTTTAGCTTGTGAACTGGTTGGATGACAGAAAGTCAGCAGTGTTAATTGCTGGGCCCAGCTGCTTTGACAAGGAAGAAATTAGTTGTTGTTATACCCTTAATCTAGCACCATGTATGAATAATTAGAGAACAGCAACAGCGGTATTTGAAAGTTGCCTCATTCTTACTTTTCCCCCCCCCAAAGTATGCAAAAAGCATCCACATTTTTAAAGGGGAGTGTGAACAGTAAAATCTCATGGGAAATTAGGTGAAAAATGTAGGCAAATGTAGCTGCTCCACATTGTTACATTCTCCTTCAATAAACCAAAAGGGAAAAATATTTTCATTTGTACGTATATATACAGTAGTTTCCAAGTAGCTATTTTGTTGGACAGGTAAAACACATCTACTGTTAATCAAGAAGTATTCAGTGCAGAAAAAAATGGTTTTGTTCAATTATTGTCATTTTAACGGAGGTAAGTGGTAGCACTTAGCTGCTCTTAAGAAAGTTAAATATGGTTGAACTTCGTTATTGCTTGAATGGAAGATCACCAGGGGTATGAATTAGACGGACTTGTCTAAAAACTGTACTGCAGAGTGTCAAACTATTCCCATACTCTTGGGAAGAGATCTACATGGAAATGGCTGCGAATCACCAGGAGTTGTGTTTGATTTAAGGAAATCAAATTCTCTAGTATCCAGATCAGGAGTGAGCATCCTACAGCAATTCGAAGGCAAGTAACCTCCAATTCCATTTCTTGTAGCTTTCAGATAATTTTGAGCACAATCCCTGCAAATTGATAATATATTGTTATTTTGTGGTGTGAGAGACCCTGCAACACACATCTCCTTAATTCCTTGTCCTGGTCACCTGTATAATGTACAGGTGTCTGTGTGCATGCACGTGTGTGTGTGCGTGTGTGCGTGTGTGTGTAAACCATCCTGGGCATCCTAGGTCAAATGAATATTTATTCGATTTCCATAGCTGACCATCTCAAGCAAATAATTTTGGATGATGAACAAGCATAAAATAGTTAAAAACAAAGTACAATTTAATTTATATATGTGGCAACCACGATAAATTCTTCATAGGTATGATTTCTGTATTCAATTTCTATAGNGCAGTCAGCTGAAGTAGCCTGTAGTGCTGCACTTTAACTCCTGTGGCCCCTTGGCTCAATTTTATTTATTTATCTAATTTATAAAGCTAATTTATAAACCCATCTCACAATAAGTGCCTTTGGCTGCCGTACAACAAGGAACTCACATACAGAAATTGTGTCTCTAATTTTCATCTGTACAACATGCAGATATGAATAGTTTAGGCTAATCTAAGATCACTCAGTGATTTTCTGATCCCTGAAAATCAGAATCAGAGATTACTATGACTTTTATATAACCTCTAGTAATTGATTTTTTAAAATGCTTCAAGCATGTCGTAAATATCATAAACTGTCCAGCTGTAGAATTTCATAATTTTATAATGAAGTTTGGTTTTCAAGGATGCCAAGCGATCAGAATAGCTTGATTTACATACTTTGCAAATTATGATTTCTGAACAAATCATGTTCAGCATTATATTTGCACGGAGCAAACTATAGTTAAGATACAGCAAATCTTTACTTTACAGTAAAATTCCGTGACAGCTTTAGAAAGAAATATTCCAACATGTTTTAGAAGGGGCCTGACTGAATAACTCATATCAAGACTGTAACATTTGTTGTACTGGGTGTGTAGCTGTGCAAGAACTCAGAGAAAGAAAATACTGTTTGAATAAATAGCCCTTGGGAAGTTAGACAATTATATGATGCCACTGCACATTCTTTCTGTTGGATCTTATATCCCCATATGATGCCATTTACCAAAAAAATGGCAAAGCCAATTATGAAAGTCATAGTATCTGATTACTATTCCCCCAGTTGTTGATCATTCCAGTTTGCTCCAGAAAGTACTGTATACTAAGGGTCCTCAGTATTAAGCAACTGCATCCTTCACAATCATGTGTGCAAAGGAACATCGAACATGTACTGTGGAACATTATAAAAGTAGCACCTTTGGCATAGATGCCCTACCGTACCACAATGATATCTAATTTTTTTTTTCCTTTGTCTCTCACTCTTCCTTTGTTCCTCTGCCATGTCAGGAGCAAGAGAAGCAAAACTAAATTTCAGCCAGATGATCTCAACTGAATGTTTGAGTCATGGACATTTATGGGGTGGGGGGTACGTAGAAGAGAAGCAATGATGGATGGCTGTGATAGGCCTGCTGTATCTATAACACTTTCAATTAGTAGCAATAGCAATAACAGTAGACTTATATACCGCTTCATAGGGCTTTCAGCCCTCTCTAAGCGGTTTACAGAGAGTCAGCATATTGCCCCCAACANGAAAAGAAAGAAAATAAAAGAAAGTAAAAATAAAATAAGACAAGTTAAAACGACATAGATACATTCATTTCAATCGGAGCTGGACCTCAACAATGAGCTCAACAGCTCTAGGCCTGCAGGAAAAGCAAGGTCTTGACAGCTTTTCTGAAGGCCATGAGAGTGGGTGAGGTTCGGATTTCTGGGGGATTAACACATAAAAGAAATTTCAGAAGTTTTGACCCAGTAATATCAACACAACAATTAACTGAAAATCCTGAACAAACTAGAAACAGCCCACATTTTACTGCACAGATTTTGTCTATTGATTTCAGTGAGAAACAATTAAGAACTGAGATGATCCCATATTGCTGAGATGGCACATTTCAAGGTGGTTATTGATTCCCAGAAACCAGTCCTAGTAATTAGTCACTTACTTGTAAGAAATAAGATTTTCCTTCAGATTTGTACATTTTGTAGACTGCAAAATAAATTGGTTTCCCAACTGCTGGGACTTTTCTTCTACCCTAGCTAAAATTATATATATAATGGAGGCTTGTTGGCAACTAGCTAAGGATAAACATATCCTTTTTTTTTTCAGACAGAAAGATCTCATAAGTAACTGTAAAATCAGCTGTCTATACAAAACTGGACATTTTTAATTCTACAGTTTGGATTTTAGTAGCATTTTTTTTTAATGTTCTCTCTGGGGATATGCCAGCAATCCCTTTTTTTGTTTTATATTTTTTGAAAAACCTGTTTTTTTTCTTGTTTTCCCTTTCATTTATTTAGAGTCTTGATTTTAAAGCTCACCTCAGTTTTTTTTTTTTTTTAGCACATCTTCCACAAATTATGCACTTGGGAACTCTCAATGAACCTGGAAATGTTTTTATTTAGTGTTTCTAATTTCAGGACTGTGCCATATTTCTATCCCTTTGTATATTTCAAGGATGAAGCCATATTTAAATGTACCCGTTTCCCTCTCTTGAGGTTTATATTTGAAAGCTAAGTAACTTATTTTTCATCTTTCTGAAAGATTAAGAATGTTATTAAGGTAGCTTCTCTTCACAGGGGTTGAGTATCTTATATAGGTTACAACTGATGTTCCCCCATTTTTCCTCTGGGGAAAAAACTTGGAAATAGGTGTGAATGTTCCCTCTGTGGTATTGCTTACTCTAATTTGTACGTTTCACTGATTTCAAATATTGACACACCAAATTCTAATTTGTAAACCAAAACATAGGTTATTTTTGGTGGTTCATTACTATATTAAAAGACCAAGTTTTTTGAGAGAGTGCTGGACTTTTTTTGAGGTACCCAACCCATTTGCTTGAGTGTTCATGAGGTCAGAAGTAAGGAAACACATGACATCAAGTGTATTGCAACACAAACTCTGCCACTTAGGTGTGACCTATGATGCAAGTTCAAAGGGTAGAGCTTGCTCTGTGGCATCATGACACATGTTTCATCATTTTGATATCATTATGGCTAAGATTGATGCCTATGCTCACCAGGTAATTTCTTAAGCCAACCACTGTCNGAACCCTGTCCAGGGTCCTCCACATCCTCCAGAGCCAACTCATAGGGTCCCTCGGTGTCGGAGTCTGGTAGCAGCTTCAATGCCTCCTGCTGGGCCACAACAGCCACCTATCTCAAGCAAGTGATTCCGGGCAGTGAAAAAATCATAAAATAGTTCAAAAACAAATTACAATATAACAACAATTTAATACATATGGCATTTCTTTGATTTGATTAATAAGGTTACGGGAAGGAAAGTAATATCATTCAACAGCATGGTGTTCTTTCTGCAGTAACAGTTCATGGGTCTATATTCTGCTTTCTTGCTCCAGCTGAATGCTGCATCTCAAGCACTCTCTTTGCTAACGGTAAGTTAAGACAATGAAGTTGCAGTGAGGAAGATGAAAACCTTGATTTAGTTTCATCCAATGAGACATCAGTCTTGTTCTTGAGTCTACCCCAACAAAATAAATAAATAAATGATTTCATTTTTCTGTTCCACATATGATATAGTTATGTGTATGAACAAAGGTGAAAGTGAGAAAAGGAGAGAGAACAGAGGGAGAAAATAAGCTATGCAATACCACACAAACTGCTCACATTCTAGTTCTCTATATTTCCAGTTGGTGGCTTCCAACACAACTTTCTCCTGGAGGGGGAAGGGGGAATAGTGATTGAGACAACAGTTCGTTGGAAAAGCAGATGTTTATATTTGACAACTGACTTTTTCTTATTTGTTGGAACATCACAGTACTATTGGAAATAAAAGTTCTGCAAGTTGAAGGAGGAAGAAATAATATTTAATTATGCTCTTTCCCTGAAACTCTCATTAAGCCATTAAAGTATGGTCCAGCTTTCCAGAATGTTCAGAGACTGCATTGAATAATTTGTGGCTGATTTAATCCCCACCCCATTAATGATTTCATGAGTGGAACTCCGTTGATGGAATCATATGTTTGCATTTATGAAACTGAAGCTTGATTTTTAGGGGAAGGAAGGAAGGAAGGAAGGATATAATGATATAATGATCATTCAGAAATAAAACTTCCCAAATTAGCAATGTATTCATATGAATATTTACTCAAAGGTAAATCTCACTAATCCTACACCTATACCTAGATAATCAAAATCAGGCAGAGCACATATTGATATAAATATTTCAAGCTACTCAATTTATTTTCCAGATTAAAAATGGATTAAGTTATACAATCCTAAACAAATACAGTAGATGCTTTAGTCTTTGCAAGTTGCACTATTGGTTGAAAACATCTACCAGATGAATGTACAATGATCCATTCTGGGCATTGGCTGAGTAGTTGAAACCTAGATGGTTTTTACTAAGGAGGGTCAATTATTTCAGCCTAATCCTCTTGATGATCATAAATCTAATTTTCTGCCTTTGTTCTCAGATTTTTTTGAATTGAGCTAGAAGATCTGAAGAGTCTTATAACTATATAGATTTCACAATTTTGTCAGGGGGCATCAACACAATTACAAGCTGTGCTCATCTCTTTCCCATCAACGTTGAAGGATCAGGAGAGGAAGAAGATAAAGCCTGCCTTTCCATTTGAATGATTAATGCTGGATAGAGCTGATATGTGTATATGAATTATACATATTTGAATAGCAACCAACAATACTGCAGTGGTATCACTCATGCAGACACGCTTGCTTCTTAGCAATAGCAGTTAGACTTATAGGGCTTTCATAGGGCTTTCAGCCCTCTCTAAGCGGTTTACAGAGTCAGCATATTGCCCCCAACAATCCAGGTCCTCATTTTACCCACTTCGGAAGGATGGAAGGCTGAGACGAGGATATGTCTCCAATTCAGCGGTGAGGTTCACTCACCATCCCCACCAGTTCGCAAATGTGAGGAGATGTGCATGCACCGTGCTCGCACATTACATCAGGACAGGTGGGCAGAGCCCCACAGCCGCCGCTACTGGTTCGCCCGAACTGGAGAGAACCAGCTGAATACCACCTCTGCTCCAATTGTCCTTTTATTGATATAGTTTTAGTTAGTTTTTGTTTTAATGCAATTTTCTGTTTGGGTTTCCACCCAGAATTTCTCGGATAGGTGGCTGACCATATAAATTGTAAGTTTGTAAGTTTGTAAGTTTGTAAGTTTGTAAGTTTAATTTTATTTATAGGCCGCCCAATCCCGAAGGACTCCGGGCGGTTTACAGAAGGGAAAAGAAAGAAAATAAAAGAAAGTAAAAATAAAATAAGACAAGTTAAAACGACATAGATACATTCATTTCAATCGGAGCTGGACCTCAACAATGAGCTCAACAGCTCTAGGCCTGCAGGAAAAGCAAGGTCTTGACAGCTTTTCTGAAGGCCATGAGAGTGGGTGAGGTTCGGATTTCTGGGGGATTAACACATA